TCCATGTCAAGTGTGCATTCCCAGTCGATAGCAAATTAATGCCCTCAAACCGTTACAACAATCGACATCAGAACACATGGCAGAAAAGAAGATTGAAACGCTATCCTAACACACGAAGGTGGTGCAGAAATGATGAGATAACAACCTATGCATTCACAATTGTCACAAATATTCTGTTCACAATACCTTTCCTGCTATTTATAATACTCATCTTTAACATATCTTGAAGTTCACACCCATAAAAATGTTGAGAGTAGGAGATACTGCTTTCACACCAAGTAAAAGAAAAGTTTCAAAGCAAACTGCAATAAATTATTAGAAACAAATGAAGGTGATAGTGTCTTTGTGGGAAGAAAATAACACACAAACTAAATAGATTGATTTACACCAAAGGAAAACCAGGGTCAGTTGTACGTTGACACTTACATCGCATTCCTAACAGCTCACTGTCATTCGCCTTCATGCTGAAGTCAAGACATATGTCATATATTTATAAAGTACAGAACATTTCCGAATTATGAATTTTACTGCACGACTTGATACAGGCTGAATACTCTTCTGCTCACACCATTACACTTGAATACCTAGAAAAAAAACAGAAGCTTAGATACACATACAGAATGCAGCACTCAACTATGCACATGTGGAATTACCTACATCTTTTGTAATCTTTGCCAACACTTGCATTCATGGTTTCTGTCTGAACATATTGATGGTCATATTTTCACAATCTGGCAAGCCTTACAGACGAAAATTGAGTGCCTAGTATCTCTTCACCCGAGTTGAAATATAATGAGTGCACTGTCAAAGAAAGTAGAGAGAGCACAAGTTATTTGTCAAAGAAGAAAATAGCCCTGGCGTAACATCTGGTACCTTTGGTATATGGAGGGATAGTTCCCAATTAACTTACAAAGCTCTGCACGGGAATGGGGTGAAGTTGTTGTTTGAACCACAACACTTAAAAGTAGTCAAGGTAGATAGAAGTGAGGTTCACTCCAGCGAACTTGATGTGACCCCTGCAAAAGCAACGATCCTATTTAAAAAATGTGGAAGACTTCAACAGTAGAGAACTTCTCGCCAAATAGTAGTATACATATATGGTGTTGGGCCTCATCAAAACAGAAAACGAATAAGAAAAGTCAACATGAATTGTTAGATTTTTAGATAAGATTCTCTGAATAATGACTCAATATTTCAATAAACTAACCAAACTTGCGATGGAGCATGTGATGAAATATCACTTATAATGGTGATTGAATGTGACATGTGTTGTTGATGACAACATTTACTAACCTGTAATTACTTTAATGCGCAGCTTTCGGCTAGGGTTTAAAGGCTGACAAGATGAATCCACAGAAGCAGGAGCTTTGGGTGGCTTCGAGTCTGGCAATATGATGTGGCCGGATACTTCGGGACAGCGACGAGGTTATAGTAGCCTTGGCGACGTAACTTATTAATAGTTATCCGTGGTGCCAAACTGTAAGAAATTATCAAATTACTAAACAAAAACTACGACACTGTGAAGAATTGTTTACAACGGCACAT